GTGGACGTGGAGGACTTGGACGTGGCCGTGGACGTGGACGTGGACGTGGACGTGGACATGGACGTGGACGTGGACGTGGACGTGGACGTGGACATGGTCGTGGACGTGGACGTGGACGTGGACGTGGACATGGACGTGGACGTGGACGTGGACGTGGTCGTGGACGTAGACCTGGTCGTGGACGTGGACGTGGACGTGGAGTGGTCGTGGACGTGGATGTTGACGTGGACGTGGGACGTGGTCGTGGACGTGGAGGACTTGGACGTGGACATGGGACGTGGACGTGGACGTGGACGTGGACAAGGATAAGGACATGGTCGTGGACGTGGACGTGGACGTGGACGTGGACGTGGTCGTGGACGTGGACGTGGCCGTGGACGTGGACGTGGACGTTGTACATGGTCGTGGACGTGGACTGGTCGTGGACGTGGAGGTGGACGTGGACGTGGACGTGGACGTGGACGTGGATGTGGTCGTGGACGTAGACATGCTCGTGGACGTGGACGTGGACGTGGACGTGGAAGTGGTCGTGGACGTGGATGTTGACGTGGACGTGGACGTGGACGTGGTCGTGGACGTGGAGGACTTGGACGTGGACATGGACGTGGACGTGGACGTGGTCGTGGACGTGGAAGTGGACGTGGGTCTTGGTCGTGGACGTGGTCGTAGACGTGGACGTGGTCGTCCACGACATGGACTTGCACGTGGACGTGGACGTGGACGTGGACGTTGACGTGGACGTGGACATGGACGTGGTCGTGGACGTGGACGTGGACGTGGACTTGGACGTGGACATGGACGTGGACGTGGAAGTGGACGTTGACGTGGACGTGGACGTGGACATGGACGTGGACGTGGACGTGGACGTGGACGTGGAGGTGGACGTGGACGTGGACATGGACGTGGACGTGGACGTGGAGGACGCGGACGTGGACATGGACGTGGACGTGGATGTGGACGTGGACGTGGTCGGGACGTGGACGTGGACGCGGACGGTGGACGTGGACGTGGACGTGGACGTGGACGTGGACGTGGACATGGACGTGGACGTGGATGTGGACGTGGACGTGACGTGGACGTGGACGTGGACATGGACGTGGACGTGGACGTGGACGTGGACGTGGACATGGACGTGGACATGGACGTGGACGTGGACTTGGACATGGACATGGACGTGGACTTGGACGTGGACTTGGACGTGGACTTGGACGTGGACTTGGACGTGGACATGGACGTGGACTTGGACGTGGACGTGGACATCGACGTGGACGTGGACGTGGACGTGGACGTGGTTGTGGACGTGGACATGGACCTGGACATGGACGTGGACGTGGACATGGACGTGGACATGGACGTGGATATGGACGTGGGCGTGGACATGGACGTGGACGTGAACGTGGACATGGACATGGACATGGACGTGGACATGGACATGGACGTGGACATGGACGTGGACATGGACGTGCACGTGGACGTGGACGTGGACGTGGACGTGGACATAGACGTGGACGTGGACGTGGACGTGGACATGTATGTGGACGTGGACGTAGACATGGTCGTGGACGTGGACGTGGACGTGGACGTGGAGTGGTCGTGGACTTGGACGTGGACATGGACGTGGACGTGGACGTGGTCGTGGACGTGGAGGACTTGGACGTGGACATGGACGTGGACGTGGACGTGGTCGTGGACGTGGACGTGGACGTGGTCCTGGTCGTGGACGTGGTCGTAGACGTGGACGTGGTCGTCCACGACATGGACTTGCACGTGGACGTGGACGTGGACGTGGACGTGGACGTGGACATGGACGTGGACGTGGACGTGGACGTGGACGTGGACGTGGACATGGTCGTGGACGTGGACGTGGACGTGGACTTGGACGTGGACATGGACGTGGACGTGGACGTGGACGTGGACGTGGACGTGGACATGGACGTGGACGTGGACGTGGACGTGGAGGTGGACGTGGACGTGGACGTGGAGGACGCGGACGTGGACGTGGACGTGGACGTGGACGTGGACGTGGACGTGGACGTGGACATGGACGTGGACATGGACGTGGACGTGGACATGGACGTGGACGTGGACGTGGACGTGGACATGGCCGTGGACGTGGACGTGGACGTGGACGTGGACATGGACGTGGACATGGACGTGGACATGGACGTGGACGTGGACATGGACGTGGACTTGGACGTGGACGTGGACGTGGACATCGACGTGGACGTGGACGTGGACGTGGACGTGGAAGTGGACATGGACCTGGACATGGACGTGGACGTGGACATGGACGTGGACATGGACGTGGATATGGACGTGGGCGTGGACATGGACGTGGACATGAACGTGGACATGGACATGGACATGGACGTGGACATGGACATGGACGTGGACATGGACGTGGACATGGACGCGCACGTGGACGTGGACGTGGACGTGGACGTGGACATGGACGGACGTGGACGTGGACGTGGACGTGGACTGTATGTGGACGTGGACGTGGACATGGACGTGGACGTGGAAGTCTTGGACGTGGACATGGACGAGATCGTGGACGTGGACGTGGACGTGGACATGGTCGTGGACGTAGACGTGGACGTGGACTTGGACGTGGACATGGACGTGGACGTGGACGTGGACGTGGACATGGACGTGGACATGGACGTGGATGTGGACGTGGACGTGGTCGTGGACGTGGACGTGGACGTGGACGTGGATGTGAACATGGACGTGGACGTGGACGTGGACGTGGACATGGACGTGGACGTGGAGGTGGACGTGGACGTGGACGTGGACGTGGACGTGGAACGTGGACGTGGACATGGACGTGGACGTGGACGTGGACGTGGACGTGGACATGGACATGGACGTGGACATGGACGTGGACGTGGACGTGGACGTGGATATGGACGTGGACGTGGACGTGGACATGGACGTGGACATGGACGTGGACGTGGACATGGACGTGGGCATGCACGTGGACGTGGACGTGGACGTGGTCGTGGACGTGGACGTGGACATGGACGTGGACGTGGACGTGGACGTGGACGTGGACATGGACGTGGACGTGGACGTGGACGTGGACGTGGACGTAGAAGTGGACATTGACGTGGACGTGGACGTGGACATGGACGTGGACATGGACGTGGACGTGGACATGGACGTGGACGTGGACATGGACGTGGACGTGGACGTGGACGTGGACGTGGACGTGGACGTGGACGTGGACGTGGACGTGGACGTGGACGTGGACATGGACGTGGACGTGGACGTGGACGTGGTCGTGGACGTGGACGTGGACGTGGTCGTGGTCGTGGACGTGGACGTGGAATGGACGTGGACGTGGACGTGGACATGGACGTGGACGTGGACGTGGACGTGGACATGGTCGTGGACGTGGACGTGGACGTGGACGTGGACGTGGACGTGGACGTGGACGTGGACATGGTCGTGGACGTGGACGTGGACTTGGACGTGGACATGGACGTGGACATGGACGTGGACGTGGTCGTAGACGTAGACATGGTCGTGGACGTGGACGTGGACGTGGAGTGGTCGTGGACGTGGATGTTGACGTGGACGTGGACGTGGTCGTGGACGTGGAGGACTTGGACGTGGACATGGACGTGGACGTGGACGTGGACGTGGACGTAGACATGGACGTGGACGTGGACGTAGAAGACTTGGACGTGGACCTGGACGTGGACGTTGACGTGGACGTGGACGTGGACGTGGATGTGGACGGGACGTGGACGTGGACGTGGACGTGGACGGGACGTGGACGTGGACATGGACGTGGAAGTGGACATGGACGTGGACTTGGACGTGGACGTGGACGTGGACGTGGACATGGACCTGGACGTGGACGTGGACGTGGACTTGGACATGGACGTGGACGTGGACGTGGACATGGACGTGGACGTGGACGTGGACGTGGACGTGGACGTGGACATGGACGTGGAGGACTTGGACGTGGACATGGATGTGGACATGGACGTGGACGTGGACGTGGACGTGGACGTGGAGGTGGACGTGGACGTGGATGTGGACGTGGACGTGGAAGTGGACGTGGACATGGACGTGGACGTGGACGTGGACGTGGACGTGGACATGGACGTGGACGTGGACGTGGACGTGGACATGGACGTGGACGTGGACGTGGACGTGGACATGGACGTGGACATGGACGTGGACGTGGGCATGGACGTGGGCATGCACGTGGCCGTGGACGTGGACGTGGACGTGGACATGGACGTGGACATGGTCGTGGACGTGGACGTGGACGTGGACGTGGACATGGACGTGGACGTGGACGTGGACGTGGACATGGACGTGGACGTGGACGTGGACGTGGACGTGGACGTGGACGTGGACGTGGACATGGACGTGGACGTGGACGTGGACGTGGACGTGGACATGGACGTGGACGTGGACATGGACGTGGACGTGGACATGGACGTGGACGTGGAAGTGGACGTGGACATGGACGTGGACGTGGACGTGGACGTGGACGTGGTCGTGGACGTGGACGTGGACGTGGACGTGGACATGGACGTGGACGTGGACGTGGACGTGGTCGTGGACGTGGACGTGGACGTGGTCGTGGACGTGGACGTGGAATGGACGTGGACGTGGACGTGGACATGGACATGGACCTGGACGTGGACGTGGACGTGGACATGGACGTGGACGTGGACGTGGACGTGGTCGTGGTCGTGGACGTGGATGTGGACGTGGACGTGGACGTGGACATGGACGTGGACGTGGACGTGGACGTGGACGTGGTCGTGGACGTAGACATGGTCGTGGACGTGGACGTGGACGTGGAGTGGTCGTGGACGTGGATGTTGACGTGGTCGTGGACGTGGAGGACTTGGACGTAGACATGGACGTGGACGTGGACGTGGACGTGGACATGGACGTGGACGTGGACGTAGAAAACTTGGACGTGGACCTGGACGTGGACGTTGACGTGGACGTGGACGTGGACGTGGACGTTGATGTGGACGGGACGTGGACGTGGACGTGGACGTGGACGGGACGTGGACGTGGACATGGACGTGGACGTGGACATGGACTTGGACGTGGACGTGGACGTGGACGTGGACATGGACCTGGACGTGGACGTGGACGTGGACTTGGACGTGGACGTGGACGTGGACGTGGACATGGACGTGGACGTGGACGTGGAGGTGGACGTGGACGTGGACGTGGACGTGGACGTGGACATGGACGTGGAGGACTTGGACGTGGACATGGACGTGGACATGGACGTGGACGTGGACGTGGACGTGGACGTGGACATGGACGTGGACAAGGACGTGGTCGTGGACGTGTACGTGGACGTGGACGTGGACGTGGACATCGACGTGGACGTGGACGTGGACGTGGACGTGGTCGTGGACGTGGACGTGGACATGGACGTGGACGTCGACGTGGACGTGGTCGTGGACGTGGACGTGGACATGGACGTGGACGTGGACATGGACGTGGACGTGGACGTGGACGTGGACCTGGACGTGGACGTGGACGTGGACGTGGACGTGGTCTTGGACGTGGACGTGGACGTGGACGTGGACATGGACGTAGTCGTAGACGTGGACGTGGACGTGGACGTGGACGTGGACGTGGACGTGGACGTGGTCGTGGACGTGGACGTGGTCGTGGACGTGGACGTGGACGTGGACGTGGACCTAGACGTGGACGTGGACGTGGACGTGGACGTAGACATGGTCGTGGACGTAGACGTGGACGTGGACGTGGAGTGGTCGTGGACGTGGATGTTGACGTGGACGTGGACGTGGACGTGGTCGTGGACGTGGAGGAATTGGACGTGGACATGGACGTGGACGTGGACGTGGTCGTGGACGTGGACGTGGACGTGGTCCTGGTCGTGGACGTGGTCGTAGACGTGGACGTGGTCGTCCACGACGTGGACTTGCACGTGGACGTGGACGTGGACGTGGACGTGGTCGTGGACGTGGACGTGGACATGGACCTGGACGTGGACGTGGACGTGGACGTGGACGTGGACGTGGACGTGGATGTGGTCGTGGACGTGGACGTGGACATGGACATGGACGTGGACGTGGACGTGGACGTTGATGTGGACGTGGACGTTGACGTGGACGTGGACGTGGACGTGGACGTGGACGTGGACGTGGACGTGGACGTGGATGTGGACGTGGATGTGGACGTGGACGTGGACGTGGACATGGACATGGACGTGGACATGGACGTGGACGTGGACATGGAGGTGGACGTTCACGTGGTTGTGGACGTGGACGTTAACGTGGACGTGGACGTGGACGTGGACGTGGACAAGGACATGGTCGTGGACGTGGACGTGGACAAGGACATGGTCGTGGACGTGGACGTGGACGTGGACGTGGACATCGACGTGGACGTGGACGTGGACGTGGTCGTGGACGTGGACGTGGACATGGACGTGGACGTCGACGTGGACGTGGTCGTGGACGTGGACGTGGACATGGACGTGGACGTGGACGTGGACGTGGACATGGACGTGGACGTGGACGTGGACATGGTCGTGGACGTGGACGTGGACGTGGACGTGGACGTGGACGTGGACATGGACGTGGACAAGGACATGGTCGTGGACGTGGACGTGGACGTCGACGTGGACGTGGACGTGGATGTGGACGTGGACGTGGACGTGGACGTGGACGTGGACATGGTCGTGGACGTGGACGTAGTCGTGGACGTGGAGGTGGACGTGGACGTGGACATGGACGTGGACGTGGACGTGGACGTGGTCGTGGACGTAGACATGGTCGTGGACGTGGACGTGGACGTGGACATGGACGTGGACGTGGACAAGGTCGTGGTCGTGGACGTGGACGTGGACGTGGACGTGGACGTGGTCGTGGACGTGGACGTGTACGTGGACGTGGACGTGGACGTGGACGTGGACGTGGACGTGGTCGTGGACGTGGAGGACTTGGACGTGGACATGGACGTGGACGTGGACGTGGTCGTGGACGTGGACGTGGACGTGGTCCTGGTCGTGGACGTGGTCGTAGACGTGGACGTGGTCGTCCACGACATGGACTTGCACGTGGACGTGGACGTGGACGTGGACGTGGACATGGACGTGGACGTGGACGTGGACGTGGACGTGGACGTGGACATGGTCGTGCACGTGGACGTGGACTTGGACGTGGACATGGACGTGGACGTGGACGTGGACGTGGACGTGGACGTGGACGTGGTTGTGGACGTGGACATGGACCTGGACATGGACGTGGACGTGGACATGGACGTGGACATGGACGTGGATATGGACGTGGGCGTGGACATGGACGTGGACGTGAACGAGGACATGGACATGGACATGGACGTGGACATGGACATGGACGTGGACATGGACGTGGACAGGGACGTGCACGTGGACGTGGACGTGGACGTGGACATGGACGTGGACGTGGACGTGGACGTGGACATGTATGTGGACGTGGACGTGGACATGGACGTGGACGTGGAAGTCTTGGACGTGGACATGGACGAGGACGTGGACGTGGACGTGGACGTGGACATGGTCGTGGACGTAGACGTGGACGTGGACTTGGACGTGGACATGGACGTGGACGTGGACGTGGACGTGGACGTGGACATGGACGTGGACATGGACGTGGACGTGGACGTGGACGTGGACGTGGTCGTGGACGTGGACGTGGACGTGGACGTGGACGTGGACATGGACGTGGACGTGGACGTGGACGTGGAGGTGGACGTGGACGTGGAGGTGGACGTGGACGTGGAGGTGGACGTGGACGTGGAAGTGGACGTGGACATGGACGTGGACGTGGACGTGGACGTGGACGTGGACATGGACGTGGACATGGACGTGGACGTGGACGTGGACGTGGATGTGGACATGGACGTGGACATGGTCGTGGACGTGGACGTGGACGTGGACGTGGACATGGACGTGGACGTGGACATGGACGTGGACGTGGACGTGGACGTGGACGTGGACGTGGACGTAGACGTGGACATGGACGTGGACATGGACGTGGACGTGGACGTGGACGTGGACGTGGACATGGACGTGGACGTGGACGTGGACGTGGACGTGGACGTGGACGTGAACGTGGACATGGACATGGACATGGACGTGGACATGGACATGGACGTGGACATGGACGTGGACAGGGACGTGCACGTGGACGTGGACGTGGACGTGGACATGGACGTGGACGTGGACGTGGACGTGGACATGTATGTGGACGTGGACGTGGACATGGACGTGGACGTGGAAGTCTTGGACGTGGACATGGACGAGGACGTGGACGTGGACGTGGACGTGGACATGGTCGTGGACGTAGACGTGGACGTGGACTTGGACGTGGACATGGACGTGGACGTGGACGTGGACGTGGACGTGGACATGGACGTGGACATGGACGTGGACGTGGACGTGGACGTGGACGTGTGGACGTGGACGTGGACGTGGACGTGGACGTGGACATGGACGTGGACGTGGACGTGGACGTGGAGGTGGACGTGGACGTGGAGGTGGACGTGGACGTGGAGGTGGACGTGGACGTGGAAGTGGACGTGGACATGGACGTGGACGTGGACGTGGACGTGGACGTGGACATGGACGTGGACATGGACGTGGACGTGGACCGTGGACGTGGATGTGGACATGGACGTGGACATGGTCGTGGACGTGGACGTGGACGTAGACGTGGACGTGGACATGGACGTGGACGTGGACATGGACGTGGACGTGGACGTGGACGTGGACGTGGACGTGGACGTAGACGTGGACATGGACGTGGACATGGACGTGGACGTGGACGTGGACGTGGACGTGGACATGGACGTGGACGTGGACGTGGACGTGGACGTGGACGTGGACGTGGACGTGGACGTGGACGTGGACGTGGACGTGGACGTGGACATGGACGTGGACGTAGACGTAGACGTGGACGTGGACATGGACGTGGACGTGGACGTGGACATGGACGTGGACGTGGACGTGGACGTGGACGTGGACATGGACGTGGACGTGGACGTGGACGTGGACGTGGACGTGGACATGGTCGTGCACGTGGACGTGGACTTGGACGTGGACATGGACGTGGACGTGGACGTGGACGTGGACGTGGACGTGGACGTGGTTGTGGACGTGGACATGGACCTGGACATGGACGTGGACGTGGACATGGACGTGGACATGGACGTGGATATGGACGTGGGCGTGGACATGGACGTGGACGTGAACGTGGACATGGACATGGACATGGACGTGGACATGGACATGGACGTGGACATGGACGTGGACAGGGACGTGCACGTGGACGTGGACGTGGACGTGGACATGGACGTGGACGTGGACGTGGACGTGGACATGTATGTGGACGTGGACGTGGACATGGACGTGGACGTGGAAGTCTTGGACGTGGACATGGACGAGGACGTGGACGTGGACGTGGACGTGGACATGGTCGTGGACGTAGACGTGGACGTGGACTTGGACGTGGACATGGACGTGGACGTGGACGTGGACGTGGACGTGGACATGGACGTGGACATGGACGTGGACGTGGACGTGGACGTGGACGTGGTCGTGGACGTGGACGTGGACGTGGACGTGGACGTGGACATGGACGTGGACGTGGACGTGGACGTGGAGGTGGACGTGGACGTGGAGGTGGACGTGGACGTGGAGGTGGACGTGGACGTGGAAGTGGACGTGGACATGGACGTGGACGTGGACGTGGACGTGGACGTGGACATGGACGTGGACATGGACGTGGACGTGGACGTGGACGTGGATGTGGACATGGACGTGGACATGGTCGTGGACGTGGACGTGGACGTAGACGTGGACGTGGACATGGACGTGGACGTGGACATGGACGTGGACGTGGACGTGGACGTGGACGTGGACGTGGACGTAGACGTGGACATGGACGTGGACATGGACGTGGACGTGGACGTGGACGTGGACGTGGACATGGACGTGGACGTGGACGTGGACGTGGACGTGGACGTGGACGTGGACGTGGACGTGGACGTGGACGTGGACGTGGACATGGACGTGGACGTAGACGTAGACGTGGACGTGGACATGGACGTGGACGTGGACGTGGACATGGACGTGGACGTGGACGTGGACGTGGACGTGGACATGGACGTGGACATGGACGTGGACGTGGACGTGGACGTGGACGTGGTCGTGGACGTGGACGTGGACGTGGACTTGGATGTGGACATGGACGTGGACGTGGACGTGGACGTGGAGGTGGACGTGGACGTGGAGGTGGACGTGGACGTGGAGGTGGACGTGGACGTGGAAGTGGACGTGGACGTGGAGGTGGACGTGGACGTGGACGTGGACGTGGACATGGACGTGGACGTGGACGTGGACGTGGACGTGGACATGGACGTGGACATGGACGTGGACGTGGACGTGGACGTGGACATGGACGTGGACGTGGACGTGGACATGGACGTGGACATGGACGTGGACGTGGACATGGACGTGGACGTGGACGTGGACGTGGACGTGGACGTGGACGTGGATGTGGACATGGACGTGGACATGGTCGTGGACGTGGACGTGGACGTAGACGTGGACGTGGACGTGGACGTGGACGTGGACGTGGACGTGGACGTGGACGTAGACGTGGACATGGACGTGGACATGGACGTGGACATGGACGTGGACGTGGACATGGACGTGGACGTGGACGTGGACGTGGACGTGGACATGGACGTGGACGTGGACATGGACGTGGACGTGGACGTGGACGTGGACGTGGACGTGGACGTAGACGTGGACATGGACGTGGACATGGACGTGGACGTGGACGTGGACGTGGACATGGACGTGGACGTAGACGTGGACGTGGACGTGGACATGGACGTGGACATGGACGTGGACGTGGACATGGACGTGGACGTGGACATGGACGTGGACGTGGACGTGGACGTGGACGTGGACAAGGACCTGGTCATGGACGTGGACGTGGACGTGGACGTGGACGTGGACATGGACGTGGACGTGGACGTGGACGTGGTCGTGGACGTGGACGTGGACGTGGACGTGGTCGTGGACGTGGACGTGGAATGGACGTGGACGTGGACTTGGACATGGACATGGACGTGGACGTGGACGTGGACGTGGACGTGGACATGGTCATGGACGTGGACGTGGACGTGGACGTGGACATGGATGTGGACGTGGACGTGGTCGTGGACGTAGACATGGTCGTGGACGTGGACGTGGACGTGGAGTGGTCGTGGACGTGGATGTTGACGTGGACGTGTACGTGGTCGTGGACGTGGAGGACTTGGACGTGGACATGGACGTGGACGTGGACGTGGACGTGGACGTGGACATGGACGTGGACGTGGACGTAGAAGACTTGGACGTGGACCTGGACGTGGACGTTGACGTGGACGTGGACGTGGACGTGGACGTGGACGGGACGTGGACGTGGACGTGGACGTGGACGTGGACATGGACGTGGACGTGGACGTGGACGTGGACATGGACGTGGACATGGACGTGGACGTGGACGTGGACGTGGACATGGACGTGGACGTGGACGTGGACGTGGACGTGGACGTGGACGTGGACGTGGACGTGGAGGTGGACGTGGACATGGACGTAGACATGGACGTGGAGGACTTGGACGTGGACATGGACGTATACATGGACGTGGACGTCTTGGACGTGGACGTGGACGTGGACATGGACGTGGACGTGGACGTGGACGTGGACGTGGACGTGGACGTGGACGTGGACGTGGACGTGGACATGGACGTGGACGTGGACGTGGACGTGGACGTGGACGTGGACAAGGACATGGTCGTGGACGTGGACGTGGACAAGGACGTGGTCGTGGACGTGTACGTGGACGTGGACGTGGACGTGGACGTGGACATCGACGTGGACGTGGACGTGGACGTGGACGTGGTCGTGGACGTGGACGTGGACGTGGACATGGACGTGGACGTGGACGTGGACGTGGTCGTGGACGTGGACATGGACATGGACGTGGACGTGGACGTGGACATGGACATGGTCGTGGACGTGGACGTGGACGTGGACGTGGACGTGGACGTGGACGTGGACAAGGACATGGTCGTGGACGTGGACGTGGACGTGGACGTGGACGTAGACGTGGACGTGGACGTGGACGTGGACGTGGTCGTGGACGTGGACGTGGACGTGGACGTGGACGTGGACGTGGACGTGTACATGGTCGTGGACGTGGACGTGGTCGTGGACGTGGAGGTGGACGTGGACGTGGACGTGGACGTGGACGTGGATGTGGTCGTGGACGTAGACATGCTCGTGGACGTGGACGTGGACGTGGACGTGGAGTGGTCGTGGACGTGGATGTTGACGTGGACGTGGACGTGGACGTGGTCGTGGACGTGGAGGACTTGGACGTGGACATGGACGTGGACGTGGACGTGGTCGTGGACGTGGACGTGGACGTGGTCCTGGTCGTGGACGTGGTCGTAGACGTGGACGTGGTCGTCCACGACATGGACTTGCACGTGGACGTGGACGTGGACGTGGACGTGGTCGTGGACGTGGACGTGGACATGGACATGGACATGGACGTGGACGTGGACGTTGAAGTGGACGTGGACGTGGACATGGTTGTGGACGTGGAGGACTTGGACGTGGACATGGACGTGGACGTGGACGTGGACGTGGACATGGTCGTGGACGTGGACGTGGACGTGGACGTGGACGTGGATGTGGACGTGGACGTGGACATGGACATGGACGTGGACGTGGACGTGGACGTGGACATGGAGGTGGACGTTCACGTGGTTGTGGACGTGGACGTGGACGTTGACGTGGACGTGGACGTGGACGTGGACGTGGACAAGGACTTGGTCGTGGACGTGGACGTGGACATGGAGGTGGACGTTCACGTGGTTGTGGACGTGGACGTGGACGTTGACGTGGACGTGGACGTGGACGTGGACGTTGACGTGGACGTGGTCGTGGACGTGGACGTGGACAAGGACATGGTCGTGGACGTGGACGTGGACGTGGACGTGGACATCGACGTGGACGTGGACGTGGTCGTGGACGTGGACGTGGACGTGGACATGGACGTGGACGTCGACGTGGACGTGGTCGTGGACGTGGACGTGGACATGGACGTGGACGTGGACATGGACGTGGACGTGGACGTGGACGTGGACATGGTCGTGGACGTGGACGTGGACGTGGACGTGGACGTGGTCGTGGACGTGGACGTGGACGTGGACGTGGACGTGGACGTGGTCGTGGACGTGGACATGGACGTGGTTGTGGACGTGGACGTGGACGTGGACATGGACGTGGACGTGGAGGTGGACGTGGACGTGGATGTGGACGTGGACGTGGAAGTGGACGTGGTTATGGACGTGGACGTGGACGTGGACGTGGACGTGGACGTGGACATGGACGTGGACGTGGACGTGGATGTGGACATGGACGTGGATGTGGACGTGGACGTGGACATGGACGTGGACATGGACGTGGACGTGGGCATGGACGTGGGCATGCACGTGGACGTGGACGTGGACGTGGACGTAGACATGGACGTGGACATGGTCGTGGACGTGGACGTGGACGTGGACGTGGACGTGGACGTGGACGTGGACATGGACGTGGACGTGGACGTGGACGTGGACGTGGACGTCGACGTGGACGTGGACATTGACGTGGACGTGGACGAGGACATGGACGTGGACGTGGACATGGACGTGGACGTGGACGTGGACGTGGACGTGGACGTGGACATGGACGTGGACGTGGACGTGGACGTGGTCGTGGACGTGGACGTGGACGTGGACATGGACGTGGACGTGGACGTGGACGTGGTCGTGGACGTGGACGTGGACGTGGACGTGGTCGTGGACGTGGACGTGGAATGGACGTGGACGTGGACGTGGACATGGACATGGACCTGGACGTGGACGTGGACGTGGACGTGGACATGGACGTGGACGTGGACGTGGACGTGGTCGTGGTCGTGGACGTGGATGTGGACGTGGACGTGGACGTGGACATGGACGTGGACGTGGACGTGGTCGTAGACGTAGACATGGTCGTGGACGTGGACGTGGACGTGGAGTGGTCGTGGACGTGGATGTTGACGTGTACGTGGACGTGGTCGTGGACGTGCAGGACTTGGACGTGGACATGGACGTGGACGTGGACGTGGACATGGACGTGGACGTGGACATAGAAGACTTGGACGTGGACCTGGACGTGGACGTTGACGTGGACGTGGACGTGGACGTGGACGTTGATGTGGACGGGACGTGGACGTGGACGTGGACGTGGACGGGACGTGGACGTGGACATGGACGTGGACGTGGACGTGGACGTGGACGTGGACATGGACCTGGACGTGGACGTGGACGTGGACTTGGACGTGGACGTGGACGTGGACGTGGACATGGACGTGGACGTGGACGTGGAGGTGGACGTGGACGTGGCGTGGACGTGGACATGGACGTGGAGGACTTGGACGTGGACATGGACGTGGACTGGACGTGGACGTGGACGTGGACGTGGACGTGGAGGTGGACGTGGACGTGGACGTGGACGTGGACGTGGAAGTGGACGTGGACATGGACGTGGACGTGGACGTGGACGTGGACGTGGACGTGGACGTGGACATGGACGTGGACGTGGACGTGGACATGGACGTGGACGTGGACGTGGACATGGACGTGGACATGGACGTGGACGTGGGCATGGACGTGGGCATGCACGTGGACGTGGACGTGGACGTGGACGTGGACATGGACGTGGACATGGTCGTGGACGTGGACGTGGACGTGGACGTGGACATGGACGTGGACGTGGACGTGGACGTGGACATGGACGTGGACGTGGACGTGGACATGGACGTGGACGTGGACGTGGACATTGACGTGGACGTGGACGTGGACATGGACGTGGACGTGGACATGGACGTGGACGTGGACGTGGACGTGGACGTGGAAGTGGACGTGGACATGGACGTGGACGTGGACGTGGACGTGGTCGTGGACGTGGACGTGGACGTGGACGTGGACATGGACGTGGACGTGGACGTGGTCGTGGACGTGGACGTGGACGTGGACGTGGTCGTGGACGTGGACGTGGAATGGACGTGGACGTGGACGTGGACATGGACGTGGACGTGGACGTGGACGTGGACGTGGACATGGACGTGGACGTGGACGTGGATGTGGACGTGGACGTGGTCGTGGACGTGGTCGTGGTCGTGGACGTGGACGTGGACGTGGACATGGACGTGGACGTGGACATGGTCGTGGACGTGGACGTGGAGTGGTCGTGGACGTGGATGTTGACGTGGACGTGGACGTGGTCGTGGACGTGGAGGACTTGGACGTGGACATGGACGTGGACGTGGACGTGGACGTGGATATGGACGTGGACGTGGACGTAGAAAACTTGGACGTGGACCTGGACGTGGACGTTGACGTGGACCTGGACGTGGACGTGGACGTTGATGTGGACGGGACGTGGACGTGGACGGGACGTGGACGTGGACATGGACGTGGACGTGGACATGGACTTGGACGTGGACGTGGACGTGGACGTGGACATGGACCTGGACGTGGACGTGGACGTGGACTTGGACGTGGACGTGGACGTGGACGTGGACATGGATGTGGACGTGGACGTGGAGGTGGACGTGGACGTGGACGTGGACGTGGACGTGGACATGGACGTGGAGGACTTGGACGTGGACATGGACGTGGACATGGACGTGGACGTGGACGTGGACGTGGACGTGGACATGGACGTGGACAAGGACGTGGTCGTGGACGTGTACGTGGACGTGGACGTGGACGTGGACGTAGACATCGACGTGGACGTGGACGTGGACGTGGACGTCGACGTGGTCGTGGACGTGGACGTGGACATGGACGTGGACGTCGACGTGGACGTGGTCGTGGACGTGGACGTGGACATGGACGTGGACGTGGACGTGGACGTGGACGTGGACGTGGAGGTGGACGTGGACGTGGACATGGACGTGGACGTGGACGTCTACGTGGACGTGGACGTGGACGTGGACATGGTCGTGGACGTGGACGTGGTCGTGGACGTGGAGGTGGACGTGGACGTGGACATAGACGTGGACGTGGACGTGGACGTGGACGTAGACCTGGTCGTGGACGTAGACGTGGACGTGGACGTGGAGTGGTCGTGGACGTGGATGTTGACGTGGACGTGGACGTGGACGTGGTCGTGGACGTGGAGGACTTGGACGTGGACATGGACGTGGACGTGGACGTGGTCGTGGACGTGGACGTGGACGTGGTCCTGGTCGTGGACGTGGTCGTAGACGTGGACGTGGTCGTCCACGACGTGGACTTGCACGTGGACGTGGACGTGGACGTGGACGTGGACGTGGTCGTGGACGTGGACGTGGACATGGACCTGGACGTGGACATGGACGTGGACGTGGACGTTGACGTGGACGTGGACGTGGACGTGGTCGTGGACGTGGACGTGGACATGGACATGGACGTGGACGTGGACGTGGACGTTGACGTGGACGTGGACGTGGACATGGACGTGGACGTGGACGTGGACGTGGACATGGTCGTGGACGTGGACGTGGACGTGGACGTGGACGTGGACGTGGACGTGGACATGGACATGGACGTGGACATGGACGTGGACGTGGACATGGAGGTGGACGTTCACGTGGTTGTGGACGTGGACGTGGACGTTGACGTGGACGTGGACGTGGACGTGGACGTGGACAAGGACATGGTCGTGGACGTGGACGTGGACAAGGACATGGTGGTGGACGTGGACGTGGACGTGGACGTGGACATCGACGTGGACGTGGACGTGGACGTGGTCGTGGACGTGGACGTGGACGTGGACATGGACGTGGACGTCGACGTGGACGTGGTCGTGAACGTGGACGTGGACATGGACGTGGACGTGGACGTGGACATGGACGTGGACGTGGACGTGGACATGGTCGTGGGCGTGGACGTGGACGTGGACGTGGACGTGGACATGGACGTGGACAAGGACATGGTCGTGGACGTGGACGTGGACGTGGACGTGGACGTGGATGTGGACGTGGACGTGGACATGGACGTGGACGTGGACGTGGACGTGGACGTGGACATGGTCGTGGACGTGGACGTGGTCGTGGACGTGGAGGTGGACGTGGACGTGGACATGGACGTGGACGTGGACGTGGTCGTGGACGTAGACATGGTCGTGGACGTGGACGTGGACGTGGACATGGACGTGGACGTGGACAAGGTCGTGGTCGTGGACGTGGACGTGGACGTGGACGTGGACGTGGACGTGGTCGTGGACGTGGACGTGGACGTGGACATGGACGTGGACGTGGACGTGGACGTGGACGTGGACGTGGTCGTGGACGTGGAGGACTTGGACGTGGACATGGACGTGGACGTGGACGTGGTCGTGGACGTGGACGTGGTCCTGGTCGTGGACGTGGTCGTAGACGTGGACGTGGTCGTCCACGACGTTGACTTGCACGTGGACGTGGACGTGGACGTGGACGTGGACGTGGTCGTGGACGTGGACGTGGACATGGACATGGACGTGGACGTGGACGTGGACGTTGACGTGGACGTGGACATGGTTGTGGACGTGGAGGACTTGGACGTGGACATGGACGTGGACGTGGACGTGGACGTGCACGTGGACGTGGACATGGTCGTGGACGTGGACGTGGACGTGGACATGGACATGGACGTGGACGTGGACGTGGACGTGGACATGGACATGGACGTGGACGTGGACGTGGACGTGGACATGGACATGGACGTTGACGTGGACGTGGACATGGACGTGGTCGTGGACGTGGAGGACTTGGACGTGGACATGGACGTGGACGTGGTCGTGGACGTGGACGTGGACGTGGACGTGGTCGTGGTCGTGGACGTGGTCGTAGACGTGGACGTGGTCGTCCACGACGTGGACTTGGACGTGGACGTGTACGTGGACGTGGACGTGGACGTGGACGTGGACGTGGACATGGACGTGGTCGTGGTCGTGGACGTGGACGTGGACGTGGTCTTGGACGTGGACGTGGATGTGGTCGTGGAGGACGTGGACATGGAGGACGTGGACGTGGACGTGGAGGACGTGGACGTGGACGTGGACGTGGTCGTGGACGTGGACGTTGATGTTGACGTGGACGTGGACATGGACGTGGTCGTGGACGTGGAGGACTTGGACGTGGACATGGACGTGGTCGTGGACGTGGACGTGGACGTGGACATGGACGTGGACGTGGACATGGACGTGGACGTGGACGTGGACATGGACGTGGACATGGACGTGGACGTGGACGTGGACGTGGTCGTGGACGTGGACGTGGACATGGACGTGGACGTGGACGTGGACGTGGACATGGTCGTGGACGTGGACGTGGACGTGGACATGGACGTGGACGTGGACGTGGACGTGGACATGGACGTGGACGTGGACATGGACGTGGACATGGACGTGGACGTGGACTTGGACATGGACGTGGACGTGGACGTGGACGTGGACGTGGACATGGACGTGGACGTGGACGTGGACGTGGACATGGACGAGGACATGGACGTGGACGTGAACATGGACGTGGACATGGACGTGGACGTGGACGTGGACATGGACATGGACGTGGACGTGGACGTGGACGTGGACATAGACGTGGACGTGGACGTGGACGTGGATGTGGACGAGAACGTGGACGTGGACGTGGACATGGACGTGGACGTGGACGTGGATTTGGACGTGGACGTGGACATGGACGTGGACGTGGACGTGGACGTGGACGTGGTTGTGGATGTAGACGTTGACGTGGACGTGGACGTGGACATGGACGTGGACGTGGACGTGGACGTGGACGTGGACATGGTCGTGGACGTGGTCGTGGACGTGGAGGACTTGGACGTGGACATGGACGTGGACGTGGTCATGGACGTGGACGTGGTCGTGGTCGTGGACGTGGACGTGGACGTGGACATGGACGTGGACATGGTCCATGTCCACGTCCATGTCCACGTCCACGTCCACGTCCACGTCTATGTCCACATCCACGTCCACGTCCACCTCCACGTCCACGTCCACGACCATGTCCAGGACCATGTCCACGTCAACGTCCACGTCCACGACCACGTCCACGTCCACGTCCACGTCCTCCACGTCCACGTCCTCCACGTCCACGTCGTCCACGTCCACATCCACGTCCACGTCCACGACCACGTCCACGTCCACGACCACGACCACGTCCATGTCCACGTCCACGTCCACGACCACGTCCACGTCCACATCCACGTACACGTCCACGTCTACGACCACGTCTACGACCACGTCCACGACCACGACCACGTCCACGTCCACGTCCACGACCACGTCCACGTCCACGTCCATGTCCACGTCCAAGTCCTCCACGTCCACGACCACGTCCACGTCCACGTCAACGTCCACGTCCACGTCCACAACCACGTGAACGTCCACGTCCACGTCTACGACCACGTCCACATTCACGTCCACGTCCACGTCCATGTCCACGTCCACATCCATGTCTACATCCACGTCCACGTCCATGTCCACGTCCATGTCGACGTCCATGTCCACGTCCACGTCCATGTCCACGTCCACGTCCACGTCCATGTCCACGTCCACGTCTATGTCCACGTCCACGTCCATGTCCACGTCCTCGTCTACGTCCACGTCCATGTCCACGTCCATGTCCACGTCCACGTCCACGTCTACGTCCACGTCTACGTCCACGTCCACGTCCACGTCCACGACCATGTCCAGGACCATGTCCAGGACCATGTCCAGGACCATGTCCACGTCAACGTCCACGTCCACGACCATGTCCACGTCCACGTCCACGTCCTCCATGTCCACGTCCACGTCCTCCACGTCCACGTCCTCCACGTCCACATCCACGTCCACGTCCACGACCACGTCCACATCCACGACCACGACCACGTCCATGTCCACGTCAACGTCCACGACCACGTCCACGTCCACGTCCACGTACACGTCCACGTCTACGACCACGTCTACGACCATGTCCACGACCACGTCCACGTCCACGTCCACGTCCACGTCCATGTCCACGTCCAAGTCCTCCACGTCCACGACCACGTCCACGTCCACGTCCACGTCAACGTCCACGTCCACGTCCACAACCACGTGAACGTCCACGTCCACGTCTTCGACCACATCCACATTCACGTCCACGTCCACGTCCATGTCCACGTCCACTTCCACGTCCATGTCCATGTCCACGTCCACGTCCACGTCCACGTCCATGTCCACGTCCATGTTGACGTCCATGTCCACGTCCACGTCCATGTCCACGTCCACGTCCACGTCCACGTCCATGTCCACGTCCACGTCCAGGTCCACGTCCACGTCCACGTCCACGTCCATGTCCACGTCTACGTCCACGTCCATGTCCACGTCCATGTCCACGTCCACGTCCACGTTCACATCCACGTCCACGTCCACATCCACGTCCACGTCCATGTCCACGTCCACGTCCACGTCCACCTCCACGTCCACGTCCACGACCAGGTCCACGTCTACGTCCACGTCCACGTCCACGTCCACGTCCACGTCCACGTCTACGTCAACGTCCACGTCCACGTCCACGTCCACGTCCATGTCCACGTCAACGTCCATGTCCACGTCCACGTCCACGTCCACGTCCACGTCCATGTCCACGTCCATGTCCACGTCCACGTCCATGTCCACGTCCACGTCCACGTCCATGTCCACGTCCACGTCCACGTCCACGTCCACGTCCACGTCCACGTTCATGTCCACGTCCACGTCCACGTCCACGTCCACGTCCATGTCCACGTCCACGTCCACGTCCACGTCCATGTCCACGTCCACGTCCACGTCCACGTCCACGTTCACGTCCACGTCCATGTCCACGTCCACGTCCACGTCCACGTCCACGTCCACGTCCATGTCCACATCCACGTCCACGTCCATGTCCACTTCCACGTCCACGTCCATATCCACGTCCATGTCCACGTCCATGTCCACGTCCATGTCCACGTCCACGTCCACGTCCACGTCCACGACCAGGTCCACGTCCACGTCCACGTCCACGTCCATGTCCACGTCCACGTCCACGTCCATGTCCACGTCCACGTCCACGTCTACGTCCACATCCACGTCCACGTCCACGTCCATGTCCACGTCCAAGTCCTCCACGTCCACGTCCACGTCCACGTCCATGTCCATGTCCACGTCCACGTCCACGTCCACGTCCATGTCCATGTCCACGTCCACGTCCACGACCATGTCCACGTCCACGTCCATGTCCACGTCCACGTCCACGTCCACGTCCACGTCCATGTCCACGTCCACGTCCATGTCCACGTCCACGTCCACGTCCATGTCCACGTCCACGTCCAAGTCCTCCACGTCCACGTCCACGTCCATGTCCACGTCCACGTCCACGTCCATGTCCACGTCCACGTCCACGTCCATGTCCACGTCCACGTCCACGTCCACGTCCATGTCCACGTCCACGTTCACGTCCACGTCCACGTCCACGTCCACATCCATGTCCACGTCGATGTCCACGTCCACGTCCATTTCCATGTCCACGTCCACGTCCATGTCCACGTCCACGTCCATGTCCACGTCCACGTCCATGTCCAGTCCACGTCCACGTCCAGTCCACGTCCACGTCCAGTCCACGTCTACGTCCACGTCCACGTCCAGTCCACGTCCCCGTCCACGTCCACGTCCACGTCCCCGTCCACGTCCACGTCCACGTCCACGTCCACGTCCCCGTCCACGTCCACGTCCACGTTCACGTCCGCGTCCACGTCCACGTTCACGTCCACGTCCACGTCCACATCCACGTCCACGTCAACGTCCACGTCCACGTCCATGTCCACGTCCATGTCAACGTCCATGTCCACGTCCACGTCCACGTCCACGTCCACGTCCACGTCCACGTCCACAACCACGTCCGCGTCCACGTCCGCGTCCACGTCCGCATCCACGTCCGCGTCCACGTCCACGTCCACGTCCACGTCCGCGTCCACGTCCACGTCCACGTCCACGTCCACGTCCACGTCCATGTCCACGTCCAAGTCCTCCACGTCCACGTCCACGTCCACGTCCAAGTCGTCCACGTCCACGTCCAGGTCCACGTCCACGTCCACGTCCACGTCAATGTCCACGTCCACGTCCACGTCCACGTCCATGTCCACGTCCACGTCCACGTCCACGTCCATGTCCACGTCCACGTCCACGTCCACGTCCATGTCCACGACCATGTCCACGTCCACGTCCACGTCCACGACCATGTCCACGTCCACGTCCACGTCCACGTCCACGTCCAGGTCCACGTCCATGTCCATGTCCACGTCCACGTCTACGACCATATCCACGTCCACGTCCAGGTCCACGTCCACGACCATGTCCGCGTCCACGTCCACGTCCACGTCGCGTCCACGTCCACGTCCACGTCCGCGTCAACGTCCACGTCCATGTCCACGTCCAAGTCCTCCACGTCCACGTCCATGTCCACGTCCACGTCCACGTCCACGTCCACGTCCATGTCCACGCCACGTCCACGTTCATATCCACGTCCACGTCCATGTCCACGTCCACGTCCACGTCCACGTCCATGTCCACGTCCACGTCCACGTCCACGTCCATGTCCACGTCCACGTCCACGTCCATGTCCACGTCCACGTCTACGTCCATGTCCACGTCCATGTCCACGTCCACGTCCACGTCCACGTCCACGTCCATGTCCATATCCAAGTCCTCCACGTCCACGTCCACGTCCACGTCCACGTCCATGTCCAGGTCCACGTCCATGTCCACGTCCACGTCCATGTCCACGTCCACGTCCACGTCCACGTCGATATCCACGTCCACGTTCACGTCAACGTCCATGTCCACGTCCAAGTCGTCCACGTCCAGGTCCACGTCCATGTCCACGTCCACGTCCACGACCATGTCCACGTCCACGTCCATGTCCACGTCCACGTCCATGTCCACGTCCACGTCCATGTCCACGTCCACGTCCATGTCCACGTCCATGTCCACGTCCACGTCCACGTCCACGTCCATGTCCACGTCCACGTCCATGTCCACGTCCACGTTCACGTCCATGTCCACGTCCACGTCCACGTCCACGTCCAAGTCCACGTCCACGTCCATGTCCACGTCCACGTCCACGTCCACTTCCATGTCCACGTCCACGTCCACGTCCATGTCCACGTCCACGTCCACGTCCACGTCCATATCCACGTCCACGTCCATGTCCACGTCCACGTCTACGTCCACGTCCACGTCCAAGTCCTCCACGTCCACGTCCACGTCCATGTCCACGTCCACGTCCACGTCCATGTCCACGTCCACGTCCACGTCCACGTCCACGTCCATGTCCACGTCCACGTCCACGTCCACGTCCACGTCCATGTCCACATCCATGTCCACGTCCACGTCCATGTCCATGTCCACGTCCACGTCCACGTCCATGTCCATGTCCACGTCCATGTCCATGTCCACGTCCATGTCCACGTCTATGTCCATGTCCACGTCCATGTCTATGTCCACGTCCGTGTCCATGTCCACGTCCATGTCCACGTCCATGTCCATGTCCACGTCCATGTCCACGTCCATGTCCATGTCCACGTCCATGTCCATGTCCACGTCCATGTCCACGTCCATGTCCACGTCCACGTCCATGTCCATGTCCACGTCCACGTCCATGTCCATGTCCACGTCCACGTCCACGTCGATGTCCACGTCCACGTCCATGTCCATGTCCACGTCCACGTCCACGTCCATGTCCATGTCCACGTCCATGTCCATGTCCACGTCCATGTCCACGTCCATGTCCACGTCCATGTCCATGTCCACGTCCATGTCCACGTCCATGTCCACGTCCACGTCCATGTCCACGTCCATGTCCACGTTCACGTCCACGTCCACGTCCACGTCCACGTCCATGTCCACGTCCACGTCCACGTTCTCGTCCACGTCCACGTCCACGTCCCCGTCCACGTCCACGTCCATGTCCACGTCCACATCCACGTTCATGTCCACGTCCATGTCCACGTCCACGTCCACGTCCATGTCCACGTCCACGTCCACGTCCACGTCCACGTCCACGTCCATGTCCACGTCCACGTCCACGTCCACGTCCACGTCCACGTCCACGTCCCCGTCCACGTCCACGTCCACGTCCATGTCCACGTCCACATCCACGTTCATGTCCACGTTCATGTCCACGTCCATGTCCACGTCCACGTCCACGTCCACGTCAAAGTCCATGTCCACGTCCATGTCCACGTCCAAGTCCACGTCCATGTCCACGTCCATGTCCTCCACGTCCACGTCCACGTCCATGTCCACGTCCAAGTCCACGTCCATGTCCACGTCCACGTCCATGTCCACGTCCACGTCCACCTCCACGTCCACGTCCACGTCCACCTCCATGTCCACGTCCATGTCTACGTCCACGTCCATGTCCACGTCCATGTCCACGTCCATGTCCACGTCCACGACGTCCACGTCCATGTCTACGTCCACGTCTACGTCCACGTCCACCTCCACGTCCACGTCCACGTCCACCTCCATGTCCACGTCCATGTCCACGTCCACGTCTACGTCCACGTCCATGTCCACGTCCACGTCCACGTCCTCGTCTACGTCCACGTCCACGTCCACGTCCACGTTCATGTCCACGTCCATGTCCACGTCCACGACCACGTCCACGACCACGTCCACGTCCACGTCCACGTCCACGACCACGTCCACGACCACGTCCACGTCCATGTCCACGTCCACGTCCACCTCTACGTCCACGTCCACGTCCATGTCCACGTACACGTCCACGTCCACGTCCACATCCACGTCCATGTCCACGTCCACGTCCACGTCTACGTCCACGTCCACGTCCACGTCCACGTCTACGTCCACGTCCACGTCCACGTCCACGTCTACGTCCACGTCCACATCCATGTCCACGTCCACGTCCATGTCCACCTCCATATCCACGTCCACGTCCATGTCCACGTCCAAGTCCTCCACGTCCATGTCCACGTCCATGTCCACGTCCACGTCCACATCCACGTCCATGTCCACGTCCACGTCCATGTCCACGTCCACGTCCGCGTCCAGGTCCATGTCCACGTCCATGTCCACGTCCATGTCCATGTCCATGTCCATGTCCAGGTCCAGGTCCATGTCCACGTCCATGTCCGCGTCCACGTCTCCGTCCACGTCCATGTCCACGTCCATGACCCCGTCCACGTCCACGTCCACGTCCACGTCCACGTCCAAGTCCACGTCCACGTCCACGTCCATCTCCACGTCCATGTCCACGTCCACGTCCACGTCCACTTCCACGTCCACGTCCACGTCTACGTCCACGTCTATGTCCACGTCCACGTCCACGTCCATGTCCATGTCCACGTCCATGTCCACGTCCACGTCCATGTCCACGACCACGTTCACGTCCATGTCCACGTCCACGTCCACGTCCACGTCTACGTCCACGTGCACATCCACATCCACGTCCATGTCCATGTCCATGTCCACGTCCATGTCCACGTCCATGTCCACGTCCATGTCCACGTCCACGTCCACGTCCACGACCACGTCCACGTCCACGTCCACGTCCACGTCCACGTCCATGTGCACGTCCACGTCCACGTCCACGTCCACGACCACGTCCACGTCCATGTCCACGTCCACGACCACGTCCACGTCCACGACCACGTCCACGACCACGTCCACGTCCACGACCACGTCCACGTCCATGTCCACGTCCACGTCCACGTCCACGTCCACGACCACGTCCACGTCCACGTCCACGTCCATGTCCACGTCCACGTCCATGTCCACGTCCACGTCCACGTCCACGTCCATGTCGACGTCCACGTCCATGTCCATGTCCATGTCCACGTCCACGTCCACGTCCACGTCCACGTCCATGTCCACGTCCACGTCCACGTTTACGTCCAAGTCCACGTCCACGGCCACGTCCACGTCCAAGTCCACGTCCACGTCCACGTCCACGTCCATGTCCACGTCCACGTCCACGTCCACGTCCACGTCCACGTCCACGTCCACGTCCATGTCCACGTCCACGTCCATGTCCACTCCACGTTCACGTCCACGTCCACGTCCATGTCCACATCCATGTCCATGTCCATGTCCATGTCCACGTCCACGTCCACGTCCACGTCCACGTCCATGTCCATGTCCACGTCCATGTCCACGTCCATGTCCACGTCCAGGTCCAAGTCCACGTCCAAGTCCACGTCCACGTCCACGTCCATGTCCACGTTCATATCCACGTCCACGTCCACGTCCACGTCCACGTCCACGTCCGTCCACGTCCATGTCCACGTCCATGTCCATGTCCACGTCCATGTCCACGTCCACGTCCACGTCCATGTCGGTCCATGTCGACGTCCATGTCGACGTCCATGTCGACGTCCACGTCCACGTCCACGACCACGTCCAAGTCCACGTCCACGTCCACGTCCATGTCCACGTCCACGTCCACATCCACGTCCACGACCACGTCCACGTCCACGTCCACCTCCACGTCCACGTCCATGTCCACGTCCATCTCCACGTCCACGTCCATGTCCACGTCCACGTCCATGTCCACGTCCACGTCCACGTCCACTTCCACGTCCACGTCCACCTCCAAGTCCATGTCCACGTCCACGTCCACGTCCACGTCCACGTCCACGTCCATGTCCACGTCCACGTCCACGTCCACGTCCACGTCCACGTTCATGTCCACGTCCTTGTCCATGTCCACGTCCATCTCCATGTCCACGTCCATCTCCACGTCCACCTCCATGCCCATGTCCACGTCCACGTCCACGTCCACGTCCATGTCCAAGTCCTCCACGTCCACGTCCCCGTCCACGTCCACGTCCACGTCCGCGTCCACGTCCCTGTCCTCGTCCACGTCCACGTCCACGTCCATGTCCACGTCCACGTCCACGTCCACGTCCAAGTCCTCCACGTCCACGTCCACGTCCACGTCCACGTCCACGTCCGCGTCCACGTCCCTGTCCACGTCCACGTCCGCGTCCACGTCCCTGTCCACGTCCACGTCCGCGTCCAGGTCCACGTCCATGTCCATGTCCATGTCCACGTCCACGCCCACGCCCACGTCCACGACCACGTCCATGTCCACGTCCACGCCCACGTCCACGTCTACGTCCACGTCCACGTCCATGTCCACGTCCAAGTCCACGTCCACGTCCACGTCCACGACCATGTCCACGTCCACGTCCACGTCCACGACCACGTCCACGTCCACGTCCACGTCCACGTCCATGTCCACGTTCACGTCCACGTCCACGTCCACGTCCACGTCCACGTCCACGTCCATGTCCACGTCCACGTCCACGTCCACGTCCACGTCCATGTCCACGTCCACGTCCACGTCCATGTCCACGTCCACGTCCACGTCCATGTCCATGTCCATGTCCACGTCCACGTCCACGTCCATGTCCACGTCCACGTCCACGTCAACGTCCACGTCCACGTCCACGTCCACGTCCACGCCCACGTCCATGTCCACGTCTACGTCCACGTCCACGTCCACGTCCACGCCCACGTCCATGTCCACGTCCACGTCCATGTCCATGTCCACGTCCACGTCCACGTCCACGTCCACGACCACGTCCACGTCCACGTCCACGCCCACGTCCACGACCACGTCCACGTCCACGTCCATGTCCACGTCCAGGTCCACGTCCACGTCCACGTCCGTCCACGTCCCTGTCCACGTCCACGTCCACGTCCCTGTCCACGTCCACGTCCGCGTCCACGTCCGCGTCCACGTCCACGTTCACGTCCACGTCCCCGTCCACGTCCACGTCCGCGTCCACGTCCAGGTCCACGTCCACGTCCACGTCCGCGTCCCTGTCCACGTCCACGTCCACGTCCACCTCCGCGTCCACGTCCCTGTCCGCGTCCACGTCCGCGTCCACGTCCATGTCCACGTCCACGTCCCCGTCCCCGTCCACGTCCGCGTCCACGTCCACGTCCACGTCCCTGTCCACGTCCGCGTCCGCGTCCACGTCCCTGTCCACGTCCACGTCCGCGTCCACGTCCCTGTCCACGTCCACGTCCACGTCCACGTCCACGTCCGCGTCCACGTCCACGTCCCCGTCCACGTCCACGTCCACGTCCACGTCCACGTCCACGTCCACGTCCACGTCCACGTCCACGACCACGTCCACGTCCACGTCCACGTCCACGTCCACGTCCACGTCCACGTCCACGTCCATGTCCACGTCCACGTCCACGTCCACGTCCACGACCACGTCCACGTCCACGACCACGTCCACGTCCACGACCACGACCACGTCCACGACCACGACCACGTCCACGTCCACGTCCACGTCCACGACCACGTCCACGTCCACGTCCACGTCCACGTCCATGTCCATGTCCATGTCCACGTCCACGTCCATGTGCATGTCCACGTCCATGTCCACGTCCACGTCCATGTCCACGTCCATGTCCACGACCACGTCCACGACCACGTCCACGTCCACGTCCACGTCCATGTCCACGTCCACGTCCACGCCCACGTCCACGTCCACGTCCACGTCCACGTCCACGCATACGTCCACGCCCACGTCCATGTCCACGTCCATGTCCACGTTTACGTCTATGTCCACGTCCACGTCCACGTCCACGTCCACGCCCACGTCCATGTCCACGTCCACGTCCACGCCCACGTCCACGACCACGTCCACGTCCATGTCCACGCCCACGTCCACGACCACGTCCATGTCCACGTCCACGCCCACGTCCACGTCCACGTCCACGTCCACGTCCACGTCCATGTCCACGTCCAAGTCCACGTCCACGTCCACGTCCACGACCACGTCCACGTCCATGTCCACGTCCACGTCCACGTCCACGACCACGTCCACGTCCACGTCCACGTTCACGTCCACGTTCATGTCCACGTCCACGTCCACAACCACGTCCAAGTCCACGTCCACGTCCACGTCCACGTCCACGTCCATGTCCACGTCCACGTCCACGTCCACGTCCAAGTCCACGTCCACGACCACGTCCACGTCCACGACCACGTCCATGTCCACGTCCATGTCCACGTCCACGTCCACATCCACGACCACGTCCACGTCCACGTCCAGGTCCATGTCCACGTCCACGTCCATGTCGACGTCCATGTCCACGTCCACGTCCACGACCACGTCCACGTCCACGTCCAAGTCCACGTCCACGTCCACGTCCACGTCCACGTCCACGTCCACGTCCACGTCCACTACCACGTCCACGTCCACGTCCACGTCCACGTCCACGTGCACCTCCACGTCCATGTCCATGTCCATGTCCACGTCCATGTCCACGTCCACGTCCACGACCACGTCCACGTCCACGTCCACGTCCACGTCCACGTCCACGTCCACGTCCATATCCACGTCCACGTCCATGTCCACGTCCATGTCCATGTCCACGTCCACGTCCACGTCCATGTCCACGTCCATGTCCACGTCCACGTCCACGTCCACGTCCACGTCCACGTCGACGTCCACGTCCACGTCCACGTCCACGTCCATGTCCATGTCCACGTCCATGTCCATGTCCACGTCCATGTCCACGTCCACGTCCATGTCCATGTCCACGTCCATGTCCACGTCCACGTCCACGTCCACGTCCACGTCCATGTCCACGTCCACGTCCACGTCCATGTCCATGTCCATGTCCATGTCCATGTCGACGTCCATGTCCACGTCCATGTCCACGTCCAGGTCCACGTCCACGTCCACGTCCACGTCCATGTCCACGTCCATGTCCACGTCCATGTCCACGTCTATGTCCACGTCCATGTCCACGTCCATGTCCACGTCCACGTCCACGTCCATGTCCACGTCCACGTCCACGTCCACGTCCACGTCCACCTCCATGTCCACGTCCACGTCCACCTCCATGTCCACGTCCACGTCCACGTCCACGTCCATGTCCATGTCCATGTCGTCCACGTCCACGTCCACGTCCACGTCCACGTCCACGACCACGTCCACGTCCTCGTCCACGTCCACGTCCACGTCCACGTCCACGTCCAGGTCCACGTCCACGTCCACGTCCATGTCCACGTCCAGGTCCACGTCCACGACCACGTCCACGTCCACGTCCACGTCCACGTTCACGTCCACGTCCACGTCCAGGCAAGCTCCTAGACCAGGCAAGCTCTTGGACCAGGCAAGTTCTTGGACCAGGCAAGCTCCTGGACCAGGCAAGCTCCTGGACTAGGCAAGCTCCTGGACCAGGCAAGCGCCTGGACTACCCAAGCTCTTGGACCAGGCATGCTCCTGGACCTGGGAAGCTCTTGGAGCAGGCAGGCTTCTCGACCAAGCTCTTGGACCACGCAAGCTCCTGGACCAGGCAAGCTCCTGGACCAGGCAAGCTCTTGGACCAGGCAGGCTCGTGGACCAGGAAAGCTCTTGGACCAGGCAAGCTCGTGGACCAGGCAAGCTCCTTGATCACGCAAGCTCCTATACCAGGCAAGCTCCTGGACCAGGCACGCTCGCGGACCATGCACGCTCCTTGACCAGGCAAGCTCTTGGACCAAGCAGGCTCGTGGACCAGGCAAGCTCCTAAACCACGCAAGCTCCTGGACCAGGCTCGCTCGTGGACCAGGAACGCTCGTGGACCAGGCAAGCTCGTGGATCAGGCACGCTCCTGGACCAGGCAAGCTCCTGGACCAGGCAAGCTCCTAGACCAGGCAAGCTCTTGAACCAGGAAAGCTCCTGGACCAGGCAAGCTCCTGGACCGGACAAGCTAATCGACCAAGAAAGTTCCTGGACAAGGCAAGCTCCTGGACCAGGCACGCTCGTGGAACAGGCAAGCTCCTGGACCAGGCAAGCTCCTAGACTAGGATAGCTACTGGACCAGGCAAGCTCCGGGACTTGGCACGCTCCTAGACCATGCAAGCTCCTAGACCAGGCAAGCTCCTGGACCAGGCAAACTCGTGGACCAGGCACGCTCCTGGACCAGGCAAGCTCCTAGACAAGGCAAGCTCCTAGACCAGGCAAGCTCGTGGACCAGGCAAGCTCCGAGACCACGCAAGCTATTGGACCAGGCAAGCTCCTGGACCAGGCAAGCTCCTGGACCATGCAAGGTCCTCGACCAGGCAAGCTCCTAGACCACGCAAGCTCTTGGACTGGGCAGGTTTCTGGACCAAGCAAGCTCTTGGACAAGGCAAGCTCCTGGACCATGCAAGCTCCTGGACCAGTCAAGCTCCTGGACCACGCACGCTCGTGGACCAGGCATGCTATTGGACCGAGCAAGCTCTTGGACTGGGCAGGTTTCTGGACCAAGCAAGCTCTTGGACAAGGCAAGCTCCTGGAACAGGCAAGCTCCTGGACCAGGCAAGATCCTGGACCAGGCACGCTCATGGACCATGCATGCTCTTGGACCAGGCAAGCTCTTGGACCAGGCAGGCTCGTGGACCAATCAAGCTCCTGGACCAGGCAAGCTCCTTGACCAGGCAAGCTCCTGGACCAGGCAAGCTCTTAGACGAGGCACGCTCGTGGACCATGCACGCTCCTGGACCAGGCAAGCTCTTGGACCAGGCAGGCTCGTGGACAAGGCAAGCTCCTGGACCACGCAAGCTCCTGGACCAGGCAAGCTCCAGGACCAGGCAAGCTCTTGGACCAGGCTCGCTCATGGACCAGGCACACTACTGGACCAGGCACGCTCTTGGACCAGGCAAGCTCGTGGATCAGGCACGCTCCTGGACCAGGCAAGCTCCTAGACCAAGCAAGCTCCTGGACCAGGCAACCTCTTGGACCAGGAAAATTCCTGGACCAGGCAAGCTCTTGGACGAGGCAAGCTAACGGACCAAGAAAGCTCCTGGAGAAGGCAAGCTACTGGACCAGGCACGCTCCTGGAACAGGCAAGCTCCTATACCAGGCAAGCTTCTGGACCAGGATAGCTCCTGGACCAGGCAAGCTCCTCGACTAGGCACGCTCCTGGACCATGCAAGCTCCTAGACCAGGCAAGCTCCTGGACCAGGCAAGCTTCTGGACCAGGCAAACTCGTAGACCAGGCACGCTCCTGGACCAGGCAAGCTCCTGGCCAAGGCAACCTCCTTGACCAGGCAAGCTCCTGGACCTGGCAAGCTCCTAGACCAGGCAAGCTCCTGGACCACGCAAGCTCTTGGACAAGGCAAGCTCTTGGACCAGGCAAGCTCCTGGACCAGGCAAGCTCCTAGACAACGCAAGCTCCGGGACCAGGCAAGCTCCGGGACCAGGCAAGCTCCTGGACCAGGCACGCTTATGGACCAGGCAAGCTCCTAGACCACACAAGCTCTTGGACTAGGCATAGTCCTGGACCAGGCAAGCTCTTGGACCAGGCAGGCTCTGGACCAAGCAAGCTCCTGGACCAAACAAGCTCCTGGACCAGGCAAGCTCGTGAACTAGGCATGCTTTTGTACCCGGCAAGCTCCTGGACCACGCACGCTCCTGGATCAGGCAAGCTCGTGGACCAGGTACGCTCCTGGACCAGGCAAGCTCCTAGACCAGGCAAGGTCCTGGACCACGCAAGCTCGTGGACCAGGCACGCTCTTCGACCAGGCAAGCTGCTGGACCAGGCAAGCTCGTGGACCACGCAAGCTCTTGGACCAGGCACGCTATTGGACCAGGCAAGCTCTTGGATCAGGCAGGCTTCAGGACCAAGCTAGCTCCTCGACAAGGCAAGCTCGTGGACCAGGCAAGCTTCTAGACCAGGAAAGCTCTTGGACCAGGCAAGCTCTTGGACCAGGCATGCTCCTAGACCAGGCAAGCTCTTGGAACATGCAAGCTCCTGGACCAGGCAAGCTCCTGGACCAGGCTAGCTCTTGGACCAGGAAAGCTCCTGGACCAAGTAAGCTCCTGGACCAGGCAAGCTAATGGACCAAGAAAGCTCCTGGACAAGGCAAGCTCCAGGAGCAGACACCCTCCTGGAACACGCAAGCTCTAGGACAAGGCACGCTCCTGGACCAGGCAAGCTCCTGGACCAGGCAAGCTCCTGGACCAAGCAAACTCGTGGACCAGGCACGCACATGGACGAGGCAAGCTCCTGGACTAGGCGAGCTCCTAGACCACGCAAGCTCTTGGACCAGGCAAGCACTTGGACCAGGCAAGCTCCTGGACCAGGCCAGCTCCTTGACCAGGCAAGCTCCTGGACCAGGCAAGCTCCTGGACAAGGCAAGCTCCTTGAACAGGCAAGCTCGTGGACCAGGCACGCTCCTGGACTAAACAAGCTCCTAGACCAGGCAAGCTCTTGGACTAGGCACGCTCCTGAACCAGGCAAGCTCTTGGACCTCGCAAGCTTCTGGAACAAGCAAGCTCCTGGACGAGGCACACTCTTGGACCAGGCAAGCTCCTAGACGAGGCAAGCTCTTGGACCAGGCAAGGTGTTGGACCAGGCAAGCTCCTGGACAAGGCAAGCTCTTGGACCAGGCACGCTTCTGGAACAGGCAAGCTACTGGACTAGCCAGGCTCCTAGATCAAGCAAGCTCCTGGACCAGGCAAGCTCGTGGACCAGGCAAGCTCTTGGACCAGGCAAGCTCCTGGACCAGGCCAGCTCTTGGACGAGGCAAGCTCCTTGACCAGGCAAGCTCTTGGACCAGGCAAGTTCTTGGACCAGGCACACTCCTGGACCAGGAACACTCCTGGACCAAGCAAGCTCATGGACCAGGCAAGCTCCTTCACCAGGCAAGCTTGTGGACTAGGCAAGCTTCTGGACTAGGCAAGCTCGTCGACCAGGCACGCTCCTGGACCAGGCAAGCTCCTGGACTAGGCAAGCTCCTCTACCAGGCAAGATCCTGGACCAGGCACGCTCCTATACCAGGCACGCTCATGGACCAGGCAAGCTCCTGGACCAAGCAAGCTCCTGGACCAGGCAAACTCCTTGACCAGGGAAGCTCCCAGACCATGCAAGCTCCAATACAAGGCAAGCTCCTGGACCAGGCAAGCTCCTCGACCAGGCAAGCTCTTGGACCAGTCAAGCTCCTGGACCAGGCAAGCTCCTGGACTAGGCAAGCTCCTGGACCAAGCACGCTCCCGGACCGGGCACGCTCCTAGACCAAGCAAGCTCCTGGACCCGACAAGCACCTGGACCAGGCAAGCTTGTGGACCAGGCAAGCACCTGGACTAGGCAAGCTCGTGGACCAGGCAAGCTCCTGGACCAGACAAGCTCTTGGACCAGGCATGCTCTTGGACTTGGCAAGCTCTTTGACCAGGCAAGCTCCTGGACCAGGCAAGCTCTTGGACCAGGCAAGCTCCTAGACTAGGCAAGCTCCTAAACCAGGCAAGCTCTTGGACCATGCAAGCTCCTGGACCAGGCAAGCTCCTGGACCACGCATGCTCCTGGACCAGGCATGCTCCTGGACAAGGCATGCTCCTGGACCAGGCATGCTCCTGGACCAGGCAAGCTCGTGGACCATGCAAGCTCTTGGACTGGGCAAGCTCCTGGACCAGGCAAGCTTCTGGCCCAAGCGAGCTCTTGGACCAGGCACGCTTGCGGACCAGGCAAACTCTTGGACCAGGCAAGCTCCTGGACTAGGCAAGCTCCTGGAATATGCAAGCTCCTGGACCAGGCAAGCTCCTGGACATCGCAAGCTCTTGAACTAGGAATGCTGATGGACCAGGAAAGCTCCTAGACCAAGCAAGCTCCTCGACCCTTCAAGCTCGTGGACCAGGCACGCTCCTGGAACAGGCAAGCTCCTGGACCAGGCAAGCTCGTGGACCAGAGCTCCTGGACCAGGCACGCTCTTGGACAAGGCACGCTCCTAGACCAGGCAAGCTCCTGGACCAGGCAAGCTCCTGGACCAGGCACGCTCGTGGACCATGCACGCTATTGGACCAGGCGAGCTCTTGGACCACGAAGGCTCGTGGACCAGGCAAGCTCCTGGACCAGGCAAGCTCCTAGACCAGGCAAGCTCTTGGACCAGGAAGTCTCGTGGACCAGGCAAGCTCCTGGATCAGGCAAGCTCCTGGACCAGGCAAGCTCCTGGACCAGGCAAGCTCCTGGACCAGGCAAGCTTCTGGACCACGAAAGCTCCTGGACCACGCAAGCTCTTGGACCAGGCACGCTCCTGGACCACGCAAGCTCTTGGACCGGGCAGGCTTCTGGACCAAGCAAGCTTTAGGACCAGGCAAGCTCCTGGACCAGGCAAGCTCGTGGACCACGCAAGCTGCTCGAACAGGCACGCTCGTGGACCATGCACGCTCTTGGACCAGGCAAGCCCTTGGACCAGGCAGGCTCGTGGACCAGGCAAGCTCCTGGACCAGGCAAGCTTCCGGACCAGGCAAGCTCCTGGAC